CAAGAATTGTAATGGACATACTTAAACCAGCTTTGTTTTTCATGTTAAACTTCAACCAATAAAATGAATTTGTGTTGTAAGTTTGGCCAATAAGAATGCAACATAGCTACCATAACCTGATTTACTCTAAGCTGGTTTAATTTGCCAGGGTGAATAGGGTGTAAAAATACAATTCTAAAAACCCTTTATCTTATATATAAGAACCTTTTCAAATTTCAGCCTTTTGGGGGTTCTTAATTATGGGGTTGAAGAGATTAAATTTAAGCCTGAAGGCTCTTATAAAAATAGGTTCTTTTATGCAGGCTTCTACTGTAGAGCATAGTTAAGAGAAAACTTTCCAAAAAGTTCTCTAACCTATTATTGCAAAAAAAGTGGAAGGGCTAAATCCCCTGCTAGTACGTAAAGTAAAGTTTTTAAGAATAATAGTTTTAATAGTTTTCGAAATAATAGTTTTAATAGTTTTCGAAATAATAGTTTTAATAGTTTTCAAAACTAAAATGGTAAAAAAAGGATAAAAAACAGCAAAAACTGCCACTGCTACTGAACAAGCTAAATAGTTATTTTGTTTTGTAGAGATTATGCGGTGCTAAAGAAAACTTCGTGAGACAAATTGTATTTGAGTTTTCCAAATGCAAGGAAGAATTAGAAACTTTAGTTTCACCAAGCAAACAGTATAGCAGTTAGAACACCAATTAAGGTAAAGGCTGTCTCACAATTTTCACTCAATTTAGAACCAGACAGAATCTTGGTACAGATTCAATTTTTTGCTGAATCATGACGGTTCTATTGAGACAAGCTGTTTGAATTTTTGCCTTTCAAAAAAATTGATTTAAATGTAAATTAAAAAAGGCAATCTTTTAATGTGCTTATGATAAACAAGAGAGTAAGGGATATTGACCTAAATTTTCTAAACTTGGCTGGGAATCGAGATAAGAATAATATTGCTGTGGGCTGTTGGGGCACTGAAATGAACGTCTTGGCAATCCTTAGAAATAATTTGAAAGAGACTTACTTGGTCATAATTAAATTAAGCAATTTCAAGGAGGCAGGAAGTTTAACTAAAGTCCCTTTGGAAATTTTTCTCGCTCTAACTGCGACTAAGTTTCACAATAACAATGGGAAAAGTTTCTACCAATCAGGAATGGGTCCCAGAACCTGGGAACCGCACATGACCTCAGACATGGTTTTTTTCGCTGATTCTCAGACTCTACTGGGAGAGAAGCACTGAATTTTCCAATCAACTAAATTTCTAATCATTAGATTTATCTCAAGTAAAATCAGTCAAGTCTGTCGCAGGCAATTGCAACTGCAGCTTTGAACTTATCATTTTAATTAAAACAAATTCCGTTCAACCTTTGTCTTAGCTTAGCTCCCTCCCTCCCAACACCCTTTTTCAAAACAAAACTGCTCAGGATCAAAGTAATGGTTACTTTTCTTGAAAATCTGGTCGTACTCCAATGCATGAAACAAACTTTTGTTGAACTTCTTAACCAGGGCACCATCCATTGGAGAAATTTACCCAAGACTTAAAATGATCAATGGCTCATACCTAATTTTATTGTGCAGTGATAACCAATTTGTGCAGTGATAAACTGAAAACGTGCAGTGATAAATCATGAAATTTGCAGTGATAAAAACGGTGCTTTGTCCTTTTCGTCGTACTTGGAAAAGGGTCATTGCTTTTTCTGTACATAGATATTGCAAAGTTTAACTGCTTGACCAACTCTAATGCATTTCAGAATTTTTAGAATTTTAGGACTTTCAGAATTCTGAATCAGACAGAATTTCAAAATGTCAAAAATATCATCAAGATTGTTTTAGAAGAGTCTTGATTGAGTTCCAAAACCGATTCAAGTGTTTATATTTCCCAGAATAAAACAGGAAGGAGGCGTAAAGACAAGATAGAATATTTATAGTTAACTTAACGTTCGTATAAACATCTTAATAAGAACCTTTTGAAAAGTAAAATTGACTTCAAACTACTGAACAATGTTGTCCGATAAAGCAAGGTTTGATTGATAGATTTTTTAATTCATCAACGACTGGAAAAAAGACGTCGAAGGAACACAAAATGACAGAAAAAGAAGTTAGTGAGGACGAGGAAACAAGCTCTAGCCGCAACACTTGTGATGATTCTGTCAGCCCTTGCTCTTCTGTTCAGAGAAACGAAGCTGATGCCGAGCCAAAAGCATTGACCTATTCAAAGGTAGATACACAAATCAGTGACAAATGTATCCAGCGTGTGCCAGGACCAAAAGCTAAAGGAAAGCGTGTGCTGTGTACTGTATGCCTACTGTACCTCACCATACTGAAGCGTTTTTGCTACAGGGGTAGAGTGCCACCAATTTGTCTCTCCGAGGGCACAGAAGCAAGAACTCATACAATTCAACAGCATCTACAAAGTTAAGCACATAAAGAATGCCTCAAAGCTGAGCGCTTGAAGAAACTTTCATCTGTCGAGAAATCTCAAGCTGTGCCCTTGGTTAAGATGTTGAGTTCGCAGCGCCAGAAATTGGCCAACAAGGTAGAGTCACTAATAATCCATGTGTACAATGATGCAAAATGTTTGACGTCATCGGCATTTTCTTGGTCATCAAGAGTAGTTGCCGCATAACTTGCTTGTGAATTCAACTACAATCAACCTTTCCAACCATACACGCCTTCTGACTTTGATCTGCAGTATATTCGAACCCCAGTTGTACAGGAACTTTTGCGCAC